AGGAGGTCTCCCTCGGGTACAATGACCAGGCTTCCTAAATTTGGGCTTGAGTATTGAGGGCTTTTTGGGTCTAAAACAGGGGTGGGTTAATGTCCACTCCACAGGCTGTATAAGGCCTGTGAAACCATTTGGTCTGGCCCTGCCAAGGCATTAGGGGTGAGCTAATTAAATGTTTGACCAAATATAGCAGGCTAATTTTTAAGTTGATAATTTTGTATGGCCCACAAATTGATGTTATAAATATCCAGCTGGCCCTGGGCAAGAAAAGGTTCCCCATCCCTGGTCTAAAACCTCCTGAATCGACAGTGTGTTGGCCATGTTGTAAAATCCGTCTCCCTATTAATCCTGTATGCGGAAGGATTTACCTATGATCAATACAATCCATGCTCTGGCAATAGCACTTCTTGTCTCTTTGCCATCTCCCCCAGGCACGGGCTTTATCACAGACCCGCACAGCAAACTCTCGTCACGTGGTCGGGGCACTTGGGCTCTATGCTCTGGCAATAGCACTTCTTGTCTCTTTGCCATCTCACCCAGGCACGGGCTTTATCACAGACCCGCACAGTAAACTCCGTCACGTGGTCGGGGCACTCGGGCTCTGAGAGGGCAGTGTGAGACTGAGCACGCGCACACATCCTCCGAGAGAGCGCCGGCTCCGTGTGAGGACTCGCCCCAAAGCCCAGCCTGACGTCCCGGATCTTTCAGGGCGCGGCGGGTGCGCGTGTGGAGAGGCCGTCTTTGGGCACGAACAGCTGGAAGAAATGCCGAACCCGCGGGCGCTGCTATTCTCTGCCCAGTGTTCCCACGTCGCCCCATCTGCAGATTTACTTGACTCCGGCCACTTCATTGCCTCCCTCTCTTGGGGGTTAGAAATAAGACCTCTGGGACACTTGCCAGAGCTAAAGGGGTTTGAGGGCTGGGCCAGCCTTGCCGTGCCCGAGGTTCCTGCCCAGGCTGTGCCTATATTGGACTGAGAGTCCCATGGCTAAAAATGCAGTTGTAACCATATGTCGGTGGGATTAAGCAAGGAGGACCAGCAGGTCCTTGAATCTGACAGACTTAATCTAATTTTTTTTTACTATGTTCAATTCTTTTTAAAACATTAATCTAATTTAAAAAGAAATAAAGGAGCCCAGCTGGCATGGCTCAGTGGTTGAGCATCGACCTATGAACCAGGAGGTCACAGTTCGATTCCTAGTCAGGGCACATGCCCAGGTTGTGGGCGTGCAGGAGGCAGCCAATCAATGACTCTTTCTCTCCAATATGCAGTGGGACAGCAAAGCACCATGGGACAAACAGAGAGAGGCAGAGAGGAGAAAGGGGATGCTCGGGGACCTCCCACCCTAGCTGAGTCCTGTTGAAATCAGCAGGAGCTGTGGGTCACCCTGGCGTGCAGGCACCTGGATGGTGTGTCTATTTCTGTGCCACGACCCCAGCTTGCCTGCCAGTGCAAGGGACCTAGTTCACCCCAAACAAATGAACCAGTTTGTACTGTTCACAGTGTGGAAAGCATTGCTCTTTCGTCATCCGTTCATCGGCTCTTTAGTTCATTTATTAATGCAAAGATTACTAAGAGTGCTCAGATCAGTGGATATTTGATGAATTAATATTTCTAGTCAGGGATTCACAATACTTAGTTTCATGTTCTAAAACACTCACTAACCTGCCTGAGAAGGTCCTCCATAGTTTCTCCTAATCCAACAAATGTATAGAGTAGCCCCCCCTTATCCACGGGGGATACGTTCCGAGATGCTCAATAGATGCCTAAAACCGAGGATAGTACCAAACCCTATACATACTATGTTTTTTCCTATACATGCTACCTATGATAAAGTTTAACTTATTAAGTAGGCACAGTAAGTTATTAATAACAATAACTAATACTAAAATAGAACAATTATAACAACATACTATGATAAGGTATGTGAATGGCCTCACAGACACTGCCAGAGGTCCCCCCCCAGCATCACAGTTCCTCTCAGGACGAAGTGCTGGAGAGGTGGCGTGTGCCACCACGGCTTCCCAGTCAGAGTTTCCTTTGTGCACGTTTGGGAGCAGTGGTGGGGTGGGTGGGGGGCGGTCAGGGGACAAAATAGCCTGGCAAGTGTGGCTCAGTGGTTAACCATTGACCTATGAACCAGGAGGTCAACGTTCAATTTCTGTCAGGGCACATGCCCAGGTTTAGGGCTCAGTCCCCAGTAGGGGGCAGGCAGGAGGCTGCTGATGAATGATTCTCTCTCATCATTGATGTTTCTACCTCTCTCTCCCTCTCCCTTCCTCTCTGAAATCAATAAAACATATGTTTTTTTAAAAAGAGGACAAAATAATTGTTTTGACCATGAAGAATAGTTAGAGGCTCACATCTACCCTCCCTTCCCACCCACGGATTTTCTGGAGGCGTTTTTTGGTCCTGGGTTCTGAGAAACAGCCTACACCTGACAGGTATCTCAACAAAGGCCGCCCCCGCCCTGCCTTCTGGAGGGATGCCCAGCCTCCTCCGCGGTTTGGGCATTTGCCTCAGGAGTACCTCCAGGTTGTGTGGTGCTCAGCCCTGCTGGGGAGCAGCTGGCATCAGCAGACCCGGGCTCCAGACTGAGCCTCACACCTGTCTCATGACCCCAGCAGCAGTGCCGTGTAGGGACAAGACTGCCTTCACCTGCACTAGTTGAGTGATCTTGGGCAACTTGGCCTCTCCGTGCCTCGGTTTCCCCATATGTGAAATGGGGATAGTAACGGCACCTACATCATAGAAATGTTGTAAGGACCAAAGCAGCCCGCGTGTACAAAGTGCCTACGGCAGCCCTTGTACACAGTAAGCATTCAACAAATGTTCATTTTCATCTAATGATCTCATAAGCATGTATAATTATTATCCTGTAAATGTGATGATCTCCTGACTCCACAGTCTGTATTCTCCTCCCTCTACTGACATCCACTCCAGCTTGGGGTGCCTCTGGGGCTCCGACTTCCTGTGCAAACCTCCCCCTTGTCCGTCCCTGCCGGGTGCTCTTGGATCAGAGGTGTCTGCGGGGATATGAGCCCGGAGGCAAGACCCTTCTCAGGATTTTGTATTGGTCTTCGAGGGAGATGTACTCTTGGGGGAGTGTGTGTGTGTGTGTGTGTGTGTGTTTTAGTTTGACATGCAGTCAGAAACGGGGGTCACTGCTTGCACTGGCATTTTTTAATTTTTTGAATTCTAGGCTAACAGGACAGTGAGGAGCATATACATAGATTCATTATGCCTTCGCTTAAACTTTTCATGAAAATACCTCTCAGTAATTGAGTAGGGCAGTTTGAGATGGAGACGCTGATGGGAGTGAGGATTTTACTGGCTAAGCAGCCCTGGTTTTACCCACCTGCAGTGTTCCCGTGTGCACACTACCAAGACGTAAGAGCTGTCCCTGTTTCTCTTCACTTGCCGCCCACAGAGGGCACCCAACGTCCGCCTCCAGCCCGCAGAGGGAGCTGAGGAAAATCTAACGGCAGTGGTGGTGTTTTAAAAACACTTCGCTGTCAACTAGAGCTCTCCTGCTGACCACACGCCATGCATGAAGCCTCCAAAATAGGTGCTTGTGTGGCCACCAGGAGACACTTAGGATTCTGAAGTGCTTCTTAAATCAGCAAAGATATTTTGATGTGCTTGGTGTGGCGTTCCTGGCTTTTATTAGTCAATTAAATTTTTATTTATTTTTTTAGCATTCAAGTCCACAAGGGTTTATATGGTAATTCTGTTCATCAAAGTATTTGATGAAGGCGAGCTTTCTGATGGTTAATAAATGGCTATTTTTCTCAAATAGTCCTTTTCACAGGTTTGCGCCTGGGCTGGGCAGGGCTGGGCATGGGGACTGACAGGGACCTGGTGACTCCTGGGGTTCTTGGCACTCAGGGTGCTCCTGGGTGTGAGTGACCTTAGACTGCCCAGGAGAGTTCTAGGGCGTGCTCCCCGCATTCGAGAATGGGCCCCAGCGCCAGGTTTACTAACGGGCCACGTAATGCAGATAAAATAAGAACTGACTTCAGTGTCGGCCCTGAACTCACACCAAGAACTTTCTGAGGAAAAGAAATCCCGTTACTGAGTCTTCATACACACACACACACACACACACACACACACACACAGTGTGATGTTGACCAAACCCAACACAGGGAAGGAGCATCACCTGGTGACTTTCCCCACTGACCCACCAAGAGACGCAAGGTCAAGGTCTCCCCTGTCTCCGGGATCTCGGGGAGGGTGCAAAGAGTGGGCCGTCAGCACCCCCATTGAACCATCAGCACCCTGAGTGGGCCATCAGCACACCCATTGAACCATCAGCACCCCAAATGGGCCATCAGCACCCCTAGTGGGCCAACAGCACCCTAAATGGGCCATCAGCACCCTGAGTGGGTCATCAGCACCCCTAGTGGACCATCAGCACACCCAGTGGGCCATCAGCACCCCAAGTGGGCCATCAGCACACCCAGTGGGCCATCAGCACACCCAGTGGGCCATCAGCACCCCAAGTGGGCCATCAGCACCCCAAGTGGGCCATCAGCACCCCCATTGAACCATCAGCACCCTGAGTGGGCCATCAGCACACCCATTGAACCATCAGTACCCCGAGTGGGCCATCAGCACCCCGAGTGGGCCATCAGCACACCCATTGAACCATCAGCACCCCCAGTAGGCCAACAGCACTCCAAGTGAAACCCACCACCAACTCCGAAATCCCATGTCAGCCAGGCCTTTTAACAATAGTTTTGACATTTCGAAAAAGATGGCTGGGCTAATGCCCTTGAAAAATCGAGAGGACCAGCATGGAACAGCCACAGTCCATGGTCCCCATTGTCGGCGTCTGGGCCCACGCTTGTTCCCTCATCCCAACTGTGCAACAAGAGTACCTCCCATTCACCTGAGACGGGGGTGCAGGGAGAGTTCAGGACAGGGACCCTGCCCCTCCTGCCTCCAGCCCCGCCGGCCAGCCCCAGCTCCCGGGACAGCATCAGCGTGCCCTGCTCACCTCCAGCACGATCTCCTTCAGCTGGAACTGCTTCTGAGCGACCTTGTCGGAAGACACGGGCTCGTGGTAGTAGAGGCACAGCAGGTCGTACCTCTTCAGGACCTGCTTGAGGTTCTTGTCCGTGAGACTCACCACACGGTCCTTGCCGTCGTACGTGGGGAAGTTCAGCCCCTCCTCCGCCCGGCAGGAGGACAGCAGGCAGACCCCCACCACAAACAGGTGCGTCCGCTTCATTGCAATGCTGAGTGCAGGACAAAAGAGGAAAAATTCTTAGGGGCTTGTTGAGAGAGGCGGGGGGCAGGGAGGCTGGTCTGTCCCTCCTGCCCTTGCTGGGCCCTGGAACTGAGTCTTCACCTCCTCGGGTCCGGCTGCTGCAGTTGTGAGCCCAGGAAGGAGGGAGCCGAGGCTCTCACACACACACATATACACACATGCACACACACACACACGTGTGGACTGAGCCAGGCTGGGCGGCCAAGCCCAGATACCGCACATAGCTCTGCCCAGCCTCGGCCCATCAGGAACTCCATTTTTAGGATGCACTTGTCTCCGGCTAAAAATAAATCATGCGACGAATAAAAAAAGTTCTCCGTGCCACTGTTGAGGGATTCGCTGATACGGTCTGTCAGAGGGTGGAGAGGGAGGAGGCAGGAGGGAAAGCCGAGGACACCAGGAATTGAGGCCAGGAAGGTCAAAGACAGACGAGAGGTGAACTTGGAGGGAGGGAGAGAAGATGAGAGGCGAGAGAGAGGGGACTGTGGCACCAGAGAGCAAGTGGAGACGTTAGGACGTGCGCAGCGCCTCAGCCATCATCGAATCTCCTATTAACCAGCCTGTCCCTCCCTGGGGACCGCGCGCCCGTCCCCTGTCTGCTCACTGCTGATGTGGGAACGAGAGGGAGTCCCGAAGTGGACTTCACCTTCTGCTGTCCTGTCTCCTGTCCTCTCTTCTTAGAAGCCCAGCCCTGGCTGGCCACTCGCCATGCCCACATGGCTCCACCAGCCCCTGGGCCAAGGCTACAACGGGACACCCTTTCCCGGCCTGCCCAGGACCACCGTTCCCTCCTACCACCCTGCCCACTGCCCAACTCTGCCGACGCCATGACAACCGTCCCCATTTTTAAATTAAATACAAGTTCAGCAGCCTTCCTCAGAAACCTGAGGTTTTTGGCTATCATCCCCGTCCTATTTTTTTTTCACGTGAACCCCTAATGTATCACTTTTACCCTTTGCCTTTTTATTAGACACAGAGTGACAGGTGTGAGTTCGAATCCCCACTCTGCCTTTTAACAGCTGAATGGGCTTTGGGGGGGGTCACTCTCCCTCCCTGGGTCTCAGCTGCCCCCCATGTCAAATGCGGATACTTGTAACTATATTGTTAGGTCTGGAATGTATAGATGGAAAAGCATGATACAGAGCCGGTGCCTACATGGTAGCTACTATACCTACTTCATTCCCACTGGAGATGCTGGGTCATAGGTTATTATAATAATGTCTTGTTAGTTCCTAGTAGTAATGGCTTGTGAACCCTTTCCGTTCCATTTTCTCCTTGATTCCAGCAGGCGATCAGGGCAGACGTGATCAGGGCTCATTTCTCAGGGGAGCTCAGAGTCAGAGAAATTAGCAACTTGTCTGCGATTGTTTCTAACTGCCACCCAGAGCCCGGTGCTCCTGAGGCGGCTCGAACCTGACGCAGGACAACTTCCCTGTAGACACCCATCTTCTCAGTGGCCCTTGACCATGTCTTCTGGTCACACAACAGTCTGGCCACGTCTTTCCACTTTATTTATTAAAAATACATTTTTATTGATTTCAGAGAGGAAGGGAGAGGCGGGGGAGAGAGAGAGAAACATCAATGATGAGAGCGAATCATTGATCGGCTGCCTCCTGCACACCCCACACTGGGGATCAAGCTGTGATCCAGGCATGTGCCCTGACCGGGAATTGAGCCCTGACCTCCTGGTTCATAGGTTGACACTCAATCACTGAGCCACACCAGACGGGCATGTCTTTCCATTTTAGAGGGGTCTCTGGCTCTTAGGACTCAGGCCCAGTTTTTGTCTTCCTTCAGTAAGAGACCAGCTTTGGACACAGCGAGGGCCTTGTGGCTCACAGGGTTTGCAGGGCGTGGAAGGAAAAGGGAAGTTCAGGGGCCTGCAGCCGAGCCTCTGTGTGGCCAGAGGGCCTCCTGCTGAGTGTCCGGCTGACAAGGAGGCATCACTTTTCGTGTCCAGGAAGCCGGGACCTTGGAGATCTCACCATTAAAACCCATCACAGCATCCAGCTCCTTCCCATGGTGAATAGTCTGCTGTTAAAGATGGAGCCACGGACAGCCACTCCAAGCATGAGCGATCTCTGCTTTCTTTAGAAATTGCAGGGGGAAAGATTTCCGACGGAGACAGCCTTGTGTCTTGTCTTTTTTGAGGTCAGCTTCACAAAGTGTTCCCAGTTGTCCCAATCTCATTGGCTTACCTTTATTTAGAATTTGCTCTACTTTTCTTATATGTTTTTTATATGTTACTGAAAAAACAAACAAACACTGGGAGCTATTTAAAGTCAGAGACTTTGAATTTCCTGTTGACTTGCAAAAGATGAAAAGTACCAGGGCAACGGGATAATTTTTAAAAAATTGATTTTAGAGAAAGAAAGGGAGAGGGAGAGAAACATCAATATGTGTGAGAGGAACATCAATCGGCTGCCTCCTGCACGCCCCCCATCGGGGATCAAGCCCGCAACCCAGGCACCTGCCGCCACTGGGAATGGAACCAGTGACCTCTTGGGTCCACGCTCAATCCACTGAGCCACACTGGCTGGGCGCAAAGGGATGATTTTTAAAATTTCAGTTTGGCTTTCAAGTCTGGCTTATGACCAGCTGAGTATTAACAGAAAGACGCCCCAGTGTAGAAAGTCCCTGCCCCCAGATCCCAGACTCTCTTTGGGCCTCGCAGCCCAGCCCTGACGGCGGCACCGCCACCGACATGTGCTGTGACGATCAGGTTTCCCACTGTCCGTCCACGTGGACACGAGGACCTGAATTTGCGCCCCACTCTTTCTAATGATGCTTCTTCATGGCCCGCTTTTTATGTACCAGCCTTTTCTCCAGCTGCCGTTTAGCTTCCTAATTTTGTTTTCCTTCGCCTTGTTGCTCACCCACTTGCATTTATTCTGTAAACAGCAAGTGCTTCTGACATTTCTGAGTCAACTCTGCATGCAGCAAACCAGCCGCAGCCCAAGGCAACACCTCACACTCTCCCAGCTCTGTGGCCGCGCCGGACTGAGCCGTGTGTATCTTGCTGTGCCGAAAGCAGGTATTTTTGTTTTGTTTTGGAACAAGAAGGAGTATAACAAAATAAACAAATTCATGCAAATACATGTCAGTTACTGTCACAGGACATGAGACAGGCCCCTTGCTTTTGCTAACAGTTTTCAGTCCATCCCTCTGTGCGTGGGCACCCCTTGCGTTTATTTATTCTCGACAGGCAGCCCGGTCATTTTATATACTATTTAATTTGAACTGCACCATAATCCATTGTATAGATACATGAGGGTTTGAAGCCATGGTCTTTCATTAAGGTGTTAATTACATACATTTGTGTACCAGACACTCTTCTGGTTACTGGGGGTAGATACACTGTAACCCTGAATTCACAGAGCTTACATCCTACGGGGAGACAGACAGTAATCAAAGAAACAGAGTGAGTGTGTGTGTGTGTGTGTGTGTGTGTGCACGCGGGTCCAGGGAGAGCCTGTGACAGTGGGTAGAGGGTGGCCCTTTAGGACGGGAGGTCCAGGAAGCATCTTTGAGGAGGGAACAGGGGAGCAGAAGGGAGGAGAGGGGCTGAGACAGAAAGCAGGTTGCTGAGAAGGCCAGTCCCAGGGAGGAGGGGGAGGCCTCCACGCTGGAGACCCGAGCGGAGTCCACCACTAGAGGGAGCTGTACCCACCTCTTCCTTTTCTCAGCATCAGTTTTCTCATGCTTTTTCATCTGTTCATAAAATATATAGGTTCATACCTACAGTGGACGGTCTATAGGGCAAGGAAACCCATCTGAGCGACTCAGACACAGTTCAGAGTGACAGAGCCGTGACCAGGAACTCAGGAGGCCTGGGTGCTGGCTGGTCTGACACAGCCCAGCCTGGCTGTGCGGCCTTGGTCAAGGCTCCCCCTCTTGGTCCTCACATTTCCAGTGGGAAAAAGGGTTCTCCTATGGCCACTGTCTGGCTCAGAGATTTTAAAATCTGTTCCGCCCATAGAGGATTTCCTTTGACCAGGATAGGCCTTGGCACAGCCCACAGGTTTGAGGACTTTGATGAATGTTACCCGTGGAGGGGGGTTTGATGGGCCTGATTCTTCACAAGTCCAACCTCGTATCTGTCTTCTCCAAAGCAGACATCCTACAGCGCTTCTTAACCTGTGGGTTGCCACCCCTTTGGCGGTCGAACGAACCTTTCACAGGGGTTGCCTAAGACCATCCTGCATATCAGATATTTACATTCCAATTCATAACAGTAGCAATATTACAGTTATGAAATAGCAACGTAAATTATTTTATGGTTGGGTCACAACATGAGAAACTATTTAAAGGGCCAGAAGGTTGAGAACCATTGTTAGGACGTCAATATGTACTAAGGCCCCTTCTTTGGCTAAAATGCTCCCCCAAGTGGACAACGTGGGGAATGACACCTTTCTTTGTTTGATCCTGTTTCCCCCTCCGTCAGGCTAGGCCGCTAGCCAGGGAGATACAGCTGGTTCCCCTGGTAGTGAGAGTCTCAGAAATGCTGTGTCTACAGCCCTGTGTTCCATGGCCCCAGGCTTCCTCTGCTCAGCTCAGAACAGGCCTGTTCCAACCCCAAGACCTCCTCTCCTTTTTATTCTGAATATCGGGCAGCCCAAGCTCCCTGCACCAGGAGCCGCCTCAACAGAACCAGGCAAAATACAAAGTCAATGCCCCATGGAAAAAGAGCCCCATGGCTCTACCAATTACAATCCCAGCTTTCCACAAACGTCACTTCCTCAGGGAGGCCCTCGGTGTGGCCCAGGGGCTGGCGTTCAGGCCCCTTGCACACCATAATCTTCCTCGGAAACGCTCTCCCACTGGGCAGCCCTTTCCCCAGTAGGCTGAGGCTGATCGGAGCAGAGACAAGTTCTGCCTGCAGTAGTTCCCATCAACTATTTACTAAATAAACCTGAAGTGCTTACTTTGCACTCCCCAGGTCTTATTTTAAGCACTATACGAATTTAACTCACTTATTCTTAGCAACCCTACGAAGCTGGCAATTTTAGCAACCCCATTTAACAGATGGGTAAACCGAGGCAGAGAGAGGTTAACTTGCCTGGGGTCACATGGCTAGTAACCTCAGAGCTGGGATTTGAACCTGCTTGTGTCTGTTTTCTGCCATTTGTAACCA